TATAATCTTAACTTAAAATTGAACTTGACAATGTGTGTATTTAATAATATTAAAATGTTTTTATGCAAACTTGTAGAGAATATTTATGTCAGTGACTAAAAGGAGAGGAGTAAGAAGATTTATGAAGTTGAATCATATCACGCCCAAAAAGAAATCCACTCAACAGAAAGGAAGATCAAGTGGATAATACATTGTATAGAGATGTTTTAGAATTTTTAATTATAATTTGTTATTAAATTCAAAAGAAAAGGAAAAAATTCTCAAAACAAAGTAGTATTTGCGGAATCGATTTTTTTTTATTTTAATTTATCATTCAAAATTTTCAACCCCCCTCTCTCTATCTCAATATTACAATATACTCACTCACACACACACGCACACATATATATGTAATGAGAGAAACTCTTGGGGAAAAAAAAAAAATCAAGACCAACAGATTTCCCTCAAGTGAGTTTAAAATTTAAAACAAATCATGTGTGTCTGTTGGTTTAGCAGTGAGAGTCAAATAAGTCCGTTTGACTTTAAATAAGTGATTATGAAATCTATTATACTACTTCTGATTCTAATTATAAGAGCTAGTTGACTAATTTGAGGAGATTAAGAAAAGAAGTTACGTTAGTTATTTGTAACAAATAAGTGTTGTCTTTCCTAAAATATCCTTATTAATCAATTGTATTGGTTAAAACTACCATTGTGAAAAGGATTACTTTGAGAAAAAATAAATAAATATGAGAGATAAAATGGATTGGGGTATTATATTTAGGACCAAAATAAAAGTCAAACAATGTCTAAGGACCGGAAGCAGTATAATATCTTTATTTTCTTTATTAGTAAATTAATTCTCTCCATCAAAAAATAGAATGAGGTTCTAAGGAATAATATTGGAAGATTGGTCTCATTTTGGCATGCCGGCAAATCCACAGTAATACGCCACGCTATACGAACCAATAATACACACAAAATAATAAGACGCGTTCACATAAAGATGGAAAGAAGAATGTAATTTTATACCCAACAATAATATTTGCAGTTTGCTGAATCTATATTTACAATTTATTTTTAACATAACGTTCTAAAACTAGTTATCATTGAATGGGTCTTTTACCCTTCTTTTAAACGAAAAATAAATAAAGTTAATATTTGAAAAAAATGTCAATTAAATCCAACGAAATATTAATTAAAATCTGAATCTAAGCTTACACTTTTAACAATTTCTTAATCAAGCCAATATGTTTAGTTAAAAATTTTTAAATATTGTTAAAAAAGCAGAATGCTCTTTTATAATTAAAAAGAAAAATTGAAGGTAGGTATAAGCTTGATTTCTTTTAATTATTTTATATAGCTAGATTTAATTAAGATTTAATCACAAATTCCCATAATCCTAGATGAGCCCTCTGACGATTTTCAGCAAATTAGTAATTGCTTCAAGAACTTTATAACCTGTCAACTCTATCAAAATGGTATATAAAATTCAATTTTTTTGGGCAAAGGTATATAAAATTCAATTAAAAAAACAAATTAAACAAAGCTAATATTATTCCTTAATTCATTCGTATCTGTTACTTATGTAAGCAACAACCATGTCATACAAACTTGATATATACAAACCAAAATCAAACCATACATATACATATATATATATATATATATATATATATATTCGAAAGCAAAATATCGCATAAAAATATAATATAATACTCCTCCGGTCCTTAATATAAGACCCATTTGACTAATTTGATTAGATTAAGAAAGTTAGGTAAGTTAGTTAATTATAAGAAATGTGACATGTTTTTCCTAAAACACCATGATCATCTTTTTTAATATCTTTCTCCCTCTTCTACTTGATTATGGTTGAGAAAATATCTATAAGGGTAATTTAGAGAAAATTGATAAATATGAGAAATGGGTCTTATATTTAGGACCAAAACCAACTCAACAATTGGGTCCTATATTAAGGACCGGAGGAGTATAATAATATTGGAAAAGAGCAAACACTTTAATATGTTCCTCACAAGATTATCCGCCCTCGAATATATGCTTGATTTGATAAATATATGCCATTCACATTATAAAAACACTTAAATAACACTCATGGGTGATTATAATCATGCACATAAAAGCACAGCCACTTCAAGTGATTCTTGCATCTATAAGAATGATAATCTTTTTTCACTTTAAAATTTAAATATCGCACACAAGGGAGGGTGTGTGATCTTTAAATATCATAATATTTTTTTGGCCAAATAAATATCATAATACCGACACATATAATATTTGATGTGATGCGAAGCATATCAAGAAGTCACCGAACTGATGATAGAGTAGTATTAGATAATTAGAGAGATATTTTATAATGATCCGACTGGATCATGATGCGCTTCATTTATGGGAGAATCCCACCAAAAAAAAAAAGACCTCTTAAAATTATTAAATCTTAAATCGGGTTTGGTAATTTAATGGGTTTTGACAATACTACTAGATCTGTAAATAACAAAATATTTTTATAAGAATTCTTTATTTAGAATTTATTAACTTGAAATTTCTTTATGTGGAATTCTCCACTGTAAGTATTTAATAAAATGAATAAAGTAATGGTGCTTGGATGGTAAAAATTAATAGAAAGCTGTAAATAAATGATAGAAATGTCCTTCCAAATTTACCACAATCTTTTAGTATTGGCTAGGAAAGGAGTTATTCAATTGTGAAGGTGGTTGTGAATTGTGATAAGATAACTTCCATATAACTCATTTCACAATTATTTTTTAAAATTTACTAGTTATAAGAAGAAAAAGGAATTAAAGTTGTATCTTTAACAATTGAAAAAATCTATTAATTATAACAATTACCTAATTAAAATTGACAATTTTAATTTCTTATGGCAAATTCATGACCATAGTGTAAACAAATTGAAAATTACGTCCGCAGTTGTTAAAATAGATGACTTTATTACGAGAAACTCAAACATACTCTTTCGAAATTTACAATTCTTTTTTAAAAAAAATTAAGTTATGTATAGAGCTTGTTTGGTATCATGTTATGTGATGTCAAACATGTGATGTTTGGAATAACTAAAGAGATAATAAGATTCTAGATCAAAAGTCAAGCTGAAGCCAAATCAATTTTTTCTATTTTTGGTTTTTATTTTAAATGTAAACACTGTAAGATTAACTTTTGAATGTGTCATCTAAACCCAATCTCCATCTCTTTACCAAGGGAAGGAGATTGATGAGGGAAGCTAGTCGCTGTTCTATATTGTTTATGCTTCTCTTGAAGCTTACAGTTTCTATTCAAAAATACATATATATACATATCATCCAAACAAGATTTTGTTAAACTGACTTTTTTTCCCCCTTAACCAAACCCATACTAGTTAATCTTTTATGATTATCAGCGTTTGAACCCGTGTTCAAGCAATTCAAGGCCAAGCAATGAACCACAAAAAACACAAAATCATGGTTAAAAAAGAACTAGTAGTACTTAGTTCTTACCACAGTATAAGATAGTAAGATACTCCTCCCTTCAAAAAACACTCGGAAAAAACAAAATCAGACGCGTTGGAATCAAACAGGAAGATTAGACGTGTGGGAGCAGGACTTGATCAATAGTGCTGGATCAGTACCCGCAAGAAAAGACATGGAGGGAAAAAAAAACTAGCAAATTAGAGTGCATTACAAAATTGAATCAGTGTGGTTGATGAAAGGACCAGGGTTGTTTAGGACTTTAGGGGATATAGCATGGTCCAGCTTTTGCTACACTACGTCCACTAGAAGGATGTCATGGAAATGGAAATTGTTTCACCTGTTGTCCTTCTTTCCTTTTTGCTTAAATGAGGACGCCGTATACGTACCGGCAGTGCTCTGCTTGTACTTGTGATAAGCCCAATAAATGGTGCCCACAAACTCCTCTTGAACACTAAAAGGACTGAGGAGCCCAGACCAAGACGCCACAAGCAACGGCACTGGTATTAATCATATGGATCACAGTTAAGAAGAAAAAAGATGTTGCCCCATAAGTGGCGTTGAGTTATGTCTAATATCTTAAAATATTTTGTAAAGTATATTCAATATCTTAAAGTATTATGTGGCATGTTTAGCATTTTAAAATATTTTTTCAAGTGCATTCAGTACCCTAAAATATTTTGTAGTTTATTTAGTATTTTAAAGTATTTTTTCATGTGGGTTCAACATCTTAAAAATATTGAAAAAATATTTTATCCAGCTTGTTATACATTCAGGGTGATATACATACCACAAAATATTTTAAAGTGCTAGATAAATCTGACAAAATACTTTTGAATGATAAATATACCTTAACTTCAATAATTTCATTGAATATTTTGCTCAGTTTTTTTTTTCCTACTCATTTTCAAAGGACTCAGTTATGTTGAATCAATCCTCAAACGATTTTTTTACTATCTTATCTTCAATGGACGTCACACCAACTCTTTTGTGAAGATGTTTGTTTATTATGAAGCTTACTTCTTTTTTTATCACCATATATCCATCTTAATATCTTCATTTTGGCTATCCCACTTTTTGCTCACGTCATGTCATTGGAATCTAAGATTTTTTTTTAGGCTAAAGCATAGGTATCCTCCTATTAGAGGTAATCCTATTCGAGATACTGCTAGGTACTAAATGTGAGTATCTCTCTAGTTGGAATCTAAGATTTGCTACCACACGTTGTTGGTCTTTTGGGAGGGCCATAAAATTTTCCATTTGCCTTATCAAGTATCAAAGTAGACCACACATCATTATTCTTTATTGTGTTTGGCCCGTCATATGACATGACACCACAAGCCCAGATGAAACCCAAAAAAAACCCGAAAGAAAAAACCTGCCTTCGTTTCTTTGAGAATATAATCGGCACGTGAAGTGACGGGTGAAAAAACTTTACTTGCTACTTAAGATATAATGAGTCATTTTTCACTCTGTTGGAACTTGAAGTTGGAAGGCGAGTAAAGCTTTTTAGTTCTTTTTAAATCTCACTCTGGCTTTCTTCTATCCAATTATCTAACCACTCTTCTGAATTCTCAGTCTACAATGGCTGCCCCAATCAACAACGAAGACATTGTTGCAGAAATCCCCAATTATATCCGAGTCTACAAAAACGGCACCGTCGAACGCCCCCAACAAACCCCATTTGTACCACCGTCGCTTGACGACCCTCAAACCGGCGTCCCTTCCAAAGACATCGTCATCTCCGACGAACCCGCCATCTCCGCTCGCCTTTACCTTCCGAAATCCACCACCCAATTCCACCACGAAGACCACCAAAAGCTCCCCATCTTGGTCTACTTTCATGGCGGTGGATTCTTCTTCGAGTCCGCCTTCTCTCAGCTCTACCATCGTTACTTAAACCTCTTCGTCTCCCAAGCCGACGTCGTCGTCGTCTCTGCAGAATACCGGCTCGCTCCAGAACACCATCTACCCGCAGCTTATGAAGATTGCTGGGCAGCCCTTAAATGGGTCGCAACTTGTTCGACGAAAGACCCCAGTGACGAGCCATGGCTAAATTATGGAGATTTCAGCAGAGTTTTCATAGCTGGTGATAGTGCTGGTGGTAATATTGTCCATAACATCGCCATGCGAGGTGGGGTTGAGGATTTGCCTGGTGGGGTTAGAATTTTAGGTGCTATCTATGTCCAACCCTTTTTCTGCAGTTCAAGTCCAATTGAGTCTGAATCAGTTTCAGGGCGTGACCAGAGCGGGGCGGGTTTGTGTTGGAAATTCGTTTACCCTTCTGCTCCAGGTGGATTAGATAACCCCACGGTCAATCCTTTGGCTCCTGGAGCACCCAGCTTGGCTGGACTTGGGTGTTCTAGGATTCTTATGTGTGTTGCAGAGAAAGATCCGTTGAGGGACAGAGGGGTTTGGTTCTATGAAGGTGTGAAGAAGAGTGGGTGGAGAGGTGAATTGGAATTGTTTGAACAGGAAGGAGAAGACCATGTTTATCATATCTTTCATCCTGAATCTGAGAATGGCAAGAAAATGACCAAACGCATGGCTTCTTTCATCACGAAGGAAGAAACAGAGACGGATTGATGGATCCAACTTCCCGTGAAGTTACAGAAAGATTCTGCAAAATGTTGCGTGTTTTAAGTTCTGTTTGCTCTGTGGTTCTTTTTTTGGACTCAATGTTTGCCCTGCGGTTCGGACAGGGAGAATTTGTCATCTTGCCCATTGTCAGTAAAATAAAATGGAATTAGAGACTATTTTATAGAAAAATCTCAAAAAAATAACGGTTGAATTTTAAACTTCTAAATCAGTATTAATTATTACATTTATAAAGAAAATAACTATAATTAAAAAATAAATTACAACACATTTTGTAGTAATTCCTGATTTGTCATTTTAAAGTTTAACAGTCATTTTTTTTTATATTTTCTCCTATTTTATTTACGGCTTACTTAATTTTAGGTGCCTAGAAATATTTTTATGTAAAGCAAGATAAAGTTTTACTTACATCTCGTAAATTATGATTAAAAAATTATTTATAAATTCAATAACATAAGGTACATATAGACCTAGTAATATAGGCTGGGCTCGCAGCCTGCCAAAAATGATAGGCTCGAGTTGGCAAAATGCCAACCTTTCAAGACGAGGGCTACTCTAATCCGCATTGCTTTGAGTCTGCTTGACCAAGGGTTAGCCCATTTTTCTTTCTTTCTTTTTTTAAATTTTTATTTTCATGCAATTCCCAATGTATTATACAATATAGTTGAAGGATTTTGACCCTCGAAATCCACATTGATATTACCTCATTCATATAATTGTATATGTAATAAACACATAAAAGATTTACTTAATTAACTTGGATAAGAAAAATAGTTAAACTAATTATTTAGAAAAAATTTGTGTTAATTTTTCTAAAATATCTTTTCAAATTATAAATTAATCCTCATATTATTTTATTATAACCCACTACGCAAGTTCAAAATTCTAAATCTAATTTTAACATTTCAAACTAAATTCAAGTTATACAAATAATAATAATTTAAAAAAAAAAATTAGACAGGTTGACACACTGGCCCGTATATGTACCGCTAGTCCGCATTACCAGCTAGATATGGTGAAAAAAAGAAAAAGAGAGACCAAGAAATTTTACCCTTATGTTTCTTAATGTATTTCATAGCATGTTTCAACGCATGACTTGACGGGTTCAGGAGATCTAAAGTTTCTAAAAGCAAGCATGTGTATCGCTCAACTCATAGGTCTTTTTCTGGCTTTGGTGCAATTGAACTCATTATGAGTATTTTGGACCTTAATTTTTTTTTTGACCTGGTGGATCTTGAAATATTTACATATCCTTAAATTGGTAGTTTCCAAACGTGTTGGCATCAAGAGGAGTTGGGTCTAACGAAAAGGGTTAGTTCTTCACAACGTAATAAACCAAGGTTTAAATTTTTGTTGAGAGAGATATCCACATTTAGTATCTGACAGTACTTAGAATAAAATTGCTTCTAATAAAAAGATAGTTATGTTTAAAAAAAAAAAGAAGTTTCCAAACCCGTCTCTATATATGTTAATAACCTGTTTATTTCAGAAAGGTTGTCAATTCAAGTACTTTGGTGGGCCTGAGAAAAAATAAATGGGAGACAAGATCACGCATCGATACTATAAATAAAACACGTCAATTATATTCAAGTTACATAATTGGGAGTAATTAATGTTTAGATTTTTATCTTCAAAGGTGTAGCCGCCCACATGTCCTATTGTTAACAGATCCACGATGCATGGCTTGTTGAAGATGTCGGTAGAGTCAAGTGACCTTCTTTCCGAGTTTCCATTTACAGGCATACAATAATCTCTAATTGGATATCTGGACTCAACCAAAAAAATCAATTCAAGCTTCGAGGAAGAAGAGGCAAGTTTAGAGGAAGCTTCGAGGAGTGGCCATGTACATGAATTTAATTAGCGTTTTAAAAATAGTTGATATGGACATTGATTTGCCTTCCCATGCATCTGTCTTCCTTAAAACGGTATGTCTGTCTGAGGAAGAGGTGGAGGAAGAACAAACAGGGAATAATCATGTGCTCTTTTGTTGGTATAGCCTTCTATGGTTGGCGAATGACAAGGAAACCAATTTGGGATTTTTAGATAATATTTTTTGTATAACTCAAAATATTCTCAAATTATTTTGAGCTCCACACTAACTTCTGTTAAGCTGAAAGTGTTAAAATTAAAATTCTTGCTTGTCAAGATTGGAAGTCGTCTTCTTGGTGAGACCGCTTTTCAGTTAATCTTGACCTACTGTTTTAGTTGTTTCAATGTACAGCCCTTGCTGAAAGTTTCCACTTGTTACGGTAGTTTCAAGGAGTGTTGGTTGCACTGTTGGGCACGAAGGTCCTTCCTTGTTCATGTGTACGTGGGCCCACAACGCGTCAAAATTCCATAACGCCATGTCCAACAATAAATGAATTTTATTAGAAGAATTATTCACATTTAATACATAATGTTTTAAATAGTAATTGCCTATTCGGTCAAAAAAAAAAAAAGATCGCCTATGCCTAAAAGTAGTGACAAAACGATGCCGGGTGTTATTAATTTTATTATTATCATATACTTCCTTCGCTTCTTATACGGGCCATCTTTTAAAGGTTGCTTTTGATTATTCTTATAAGGCATCTGATAATTTTTTTTTAAAAAAAAGTATTAAATAACCTTTCCATATATGTTCTTATTTAATAAGAGTGATGCGAGAGAATAGAAACTAATGCATGTACTACCTCTGATCTTAATTATAAGACCCAGTTGACTAATTTGAGGAGATTAAGGAAAGAAGTTAAGTTAGTTATTTGTAATAAATAGTTGTTGTCTTTCCTAAAATATCTTTACTAATCAACTATATTGGCTATGGCTACAATTATTAGAAGGACTATCTTGAAAAAAATGTATAAATATGAGAGACAAAGTAGATTGGGGTCTTATATTTAGGATCAAAATAAAAATCAAATAGAATCTTATATTAAGAACCGAAAGTAGTAGTTTTAAAATATAATATATTTACGTTAATAAAAATTGATTTAGTTCGTAAGAAGTTAGATTATACTCTAACTCATAAGGTTTATGAATTACTTAAGAATGAGTTATATTTAAGACAGAAAGAGTATATATATATATATATATATATATTAATGGCACATTAATAATTAATTAATAATATAATAGTATTAATTAAATATTGAAATTATTGTTTGGTATCAATATTTGTGATTTTTCTTATAAATATGCCCGTGGTGTAAGGCAAGTGAAGTGGATCAGCTCCTTCGCCTGGAAACTCAATCTGGCTTTCTTCTATCTAACCACTCTCTTCTCAATTCTCAGTCCCTGTCAAATGGCTACCACAGCCAACAACGAAGACATAGTTGCAGAGATCGCCACCTATATCCGAGTCTACAGAAATGGCACCGTCGAACGCCCCCGACAAGCCCCCTTTGTACCGCCGTCACTTGACGACCCTCAAACCGGCGTCTCTTCCAAAGACATCGTCATCTCCGACGAACCCCCCATTTCCGCTCGCCTTTACCTTCCTAAATGCACCACCCAATTCCACCACGATGACCACCAAAAACTCCCCATCTTGGTCTATTATCATGGCGGCGGGTTCTTCTTCGAGTCCGCATTCTCTCAGCTCTACCACCGTTACTTAAACCTTTTCGTCTCCCAAGTCAACGTCGTCGTCGTGTCTGTAGAGTACCGCCTTGCTCCAGAACACTATCTTCCTGCAGCTTATGAAGATTGCTGGGCAGCTCTTAAATGGGTCGCAACCTGTTCAACGAAAGACCCCTGTGACGAGCCATGGCTAAACTACGGAGATTTCAGCAGGGTTTTCATAGCAGGTGATAGTGCTGGCGGTAATATTGTCCATAACATCGCCATGCGTGGTGGGGTTGAGGATTTGCCTGGTGGGGTTAGAATTTTAGGTGCTATCTATGTTCACCCTTATTTCTGCGGTTCAAGTCCAATTGGGTCTGAGCCTGTTTCAGGGCGTGACCAGACGGTGCCGGTTTTGGCCTGGAAATTCGCTTACCCTTCTGCTCCAGGTGGATTGGATAACCCCATGGTCAATCCTTTGGCTCCTGGAGCACCCAGCTTGGCTGGACTTGGGTGTTCTAGGATTCTTGTGTGTGTTGCAGGGAAAGATTCGTCGAGGGACAGAGGGGTTTGGTTCTACGAGGGTGTAAAGAAGAGTGGGTGGAAAGGTGAACTGGAATTGTTTGAACAGGAAGGAGAAGACCATGTTTATCATATCTTTCATCCTGAATCTGAGAATGGCAAGAAAATGACCAAACGCATGGCTTCTTTCATCACGAAGGAAGAAACAGAGACGGATTGATGGATCCAACTTCCCGTGAAGTTACAGAAAGATTCTGCAAAATGTTGCGTGTTTTCAGTTCTGTTTGCTCTGTGGTTCTTTTTTTGGACTCAATGTTTGCTCTGTGGTTCGGACAGGGAGAATTTGTCACCTTGCCCATTGTCAGTGAAATAAAATGGAATTAGAGACTATTTTATAGCAAAATCATACTGTTGAATTTTAAAATTGCAAATAGTATTAGTTACCACATTTGTAAAAAAATGGCCATAATCAAAAAAATAAATAAAAACACGTTTTATAGTAATTCTTGATTTGTCATTTTAAAATTTAATAGTCATTTTTTTGATATTTTCCCCTATTTTATTTACGGCTTATTTAATTTTAGGTGCTTAGAAATATTTCTAGAAATATTTTTATGTAAAGCAAGATAAAATTTTACTTACATCTCGTAAATCATGATTAAAAAATTATTTATAAATATAGTGACATAAGGTACATATAGACCTAGTAATACAGTCTGAGCTCGCAGCCTGTCAAAAATGATGGGCTTGGGTTGGCAAAATACCAACCTTTCAAGGTGAGGGTTACTCTAATTCGTACTGCTTTGAGCCCTCACGGCTAAGGGTTAGCCCATTTTTCTTTTTCTTTTTCTTTTTTTTCATGCAATTCCTAATATAGTATACAATATAGTTGAAGGATTTTGACCCTCAAATTCCATATTGATATTGCTTCATTCATGTAATTGTATATGTAATAGACACATAAAAGATTTACTTAATTAACTTGGATAAGAAAAATAGTTAAACTAATTATTTAGAAAAAATTGTATTAGTTTTTCTAAAATATCCTTTTAAATTATAAATTAATCCTCATATTATTTTATTATAACCCACGACCCAAGTTCAAAAATCCAAATCTAATTTTAAGATTTCAAACTAAATTCAAGTTATACAAATAATAATAATTTTTTTAAAAAAATATTTAGACAGGTCGATGAGCTGGCATTTTGGCCCGCACCGTTGTGGGCTGACCCGTATTTATACCGCCAGTCCGCATTATCAGCTCTAGGTACATATGGTGAAAAAAGAAAAAGAGAGACCAAAAAATTTTACCCCTATGTTTTTTAATGTATTTCATAGTATGTTTCAACACATGACTTGACGGTTTTGGAGCGGAGGTTCCGGAGATCTAAAGTTTCTAAAACCAAGTGTGTGCATCGCTCAACTCATAGGTCGTTTTCTTACTTTGGTGCAATTGAACTCATTATGAGTATTTTGGATCTTAAATTTTTGTTTTTGACCTGGTGGATCTTGAAATATTTACATATCCTTAAATTGTTGAAGTTAGCATTTTGTAAGTCAAACATATTTTAATTTAGTTTCCAAACCTATTGGCACCAACAGGAGTTGGGTCTAGCGAAAAATGATTAGTTTCTCACAACGCGACAAACTAAAGTTTAAATTTTTGTTGAGAGAGATACTTACATTTAATATCCAACAGTACTTAGAATAGAATTACTTTTAATAAAAAGATACTTGTGTTTTTTTTTTTAAAAAAAGTTTCTAAACCCGTCGCTATATATGTTAATAACGTGTTTATTTCAGAAAGGCCGTCAATTCAAGTACTTTGGTGCCTGAGAAAAAAATAAATCTTGATATTACAAATAAAACACTTCAATTATATTCAAGTTACATAATTGGGACTAATTAATGTTTAGATTTTTATCTTCAAAGGTGTAGCCGGCCACGTGTCCTATTGTTACCAGATCCACCATGCATGGCTTGTTGAAGATGTCGGCAAGTGACCTTCTTTCCGAGTTTCCATTCACAAGCATACAATAATCCCTTGTTGGAAGAGGCTGATCATCCTCTTTATCTAGCTCTTAATAGAATGGAAAGACTGGAGGATCAAAAACCAATACAATTCCCTTTGGAAAAGTCTATTGTATTAGGAAATTATAGGAAGCCCAATTTGGAAAAAGTCTATACGGTGGATATCTGAACTCAACCAAAAAAATCAATACAAGTTTCGAGGAAGAAGAGGCAAGTTTAGAGGAAGTTCGTGTAGTGGCCATGAACATGAATTTAATTAGGGTTTTAAACATAGTTGATATGGACATTGATTTGCCCTCCCATGCATCTGTCTTCCTTAAAACGATATGTCTGTCTGAGGAAGAGGTGGAGGAAGAACAAACAGGGAAAGTTGCCCTTGAAGCCAGTGCTTTGGTGCGAAGATGAGGAAGGGTTTCACCCCATTGAAGAATATAATCATTACGTGCTCTTTTGTTGGTGTAGCCTTTTATAGTTGGCGAATGACAAGGAAACCAATTTGGGATTTTTAGATAATTTTTTCCGTATAACTCAAAATATTTTTAAATCATTTCGAATTCAAAACTAATTTCTGTTAGATTAAAAGTGTTAAAATTAAAGGGGAAAATTTCAGTGAAGGACTATAAAAGACAATTAATATCAAAGAGCTCCCAAAACTTTCTGAAACCTCACTGCAGGACTAAGGGACCAAATTGAAATTAAAATTTAGAATCAGATTACAATAATACCCCTCTCTTTTTATTTTATTAAAAAATAAATATTTACCGGAGTTACTGATCCCGTCACCGGCACTCATAAAATTAAAGTCCCCTAACAAATATGTTTGTCAAGATTCGAAGTTATCTTCTTGGTGAGACCGCTTTTCAGTTAATCTTGACCTACTGTTTTAGTTGTTTCAATGTACAGCACTTGCTGAAAGTTTCCATTCATTACGGTAGTTTCAAGGAGTGTTGGTTGCACTGTTTTTTCTGACTCTGAATAAAATTGACCTTTTAGTTAACAAAGGTGTTGGTTGCTATTTCTTTCCCTTTTTTAAAAAAATATAATATACTCGTAGGTGTTGGTTGCTATTTCTTTCCTTTTTTAATATAATATAATTAAATGCATGCTCGTAGACCAAAAAAGGATTTTTTTTTTAATTTATCCTTTTCATTTGAAACAATGCCTCTTGCATATCCATGTCCAAAAAAATTTGACAAAAAAAGGAAGTAGTGCGTCCCCACATGGTTATGGAAAAAATAAAAATAATAGCAAACGGGCACGAAGGCCCCTCCGCTTTCACGTGTACGTGGGCCCACAACGCGTCAAAATTCCAAAACGCTGTGTCCAACAATAAATGAATTTTATTAGAAGAATTATTCACATTTAATACATAGCGTTTTAAATAGGATCGCTTATGCCTAAAAGTAGTGACAAAACGATGCCGGGTGTTATTAATTTTATTATTATCATATACTTCCTTCGCTTCTTATACGGGCCATCTTTTAAAGGTTGCTTTTGATTATTCTTATAAGGCATCTGATAATTTTTTTTAAATTAAATAACCTTTTCATATATGTTCTTATTTAATAAGAGTGATGCGAGAGGATAGAAACTAATGCATGTAGTTTTAAAATATAATATATTTATGTTAATAAAAATTGACTTAGTTGGTAAGAAGTCAGATTATACTCTAACTCATAAGGTTTATGAATTGCTTAAGAATGAGTTGTATTTAAGACAGAAAGAGTATATATATATATATATACACACACTAATGGCACATTAATAATTAATTAATAATATAGTAGTATTAATTAAATATTGAAATTATTGTTTGGTATCAATATTTGTGATTTTTCTTATAAATATGCCCGTGGTGTAAGGCAAGTAAAGTGGAGAATTAGCTCCTTTGCCTGGAACCTCAATCTGGCTTTCTTCTATCTAACCACTCTCTTCTCAATTCTCAGTCTCTGTCAAATGGCTACCACGGCCAACAACGAAGACATAGTTGCAGAGATCCCCACCTACATCCGAGTCTACAGAAATGGCACCGTCGAACGCCCCCGACAAGCCCCCTTTGTACCGCCGTCACTTGACGACCCTCAAACCGGCGTCTCTTCCAAAGACATCGTCATCTCCGACGAACCCCCCATTTCCGCTCGCCTTTACCTTCCTAAATCCACCACCCAATTCCACCACGATGACCACCAAAAACTCCCCATCTTGGTCTATTATCATGGCGGCGGGTTCTTCTTCGAGTCCGCATTCTCTCAGCTCTACCACCGTTACTTAAACCTCTTCGTCTCCCAAGTCAACGTCGTCGTCGTGTCTGTAGAGTACCGCCTTGCTCCAGAAAACTATCTTCCTGCAGCTTATGAAGATTGCTGGGCAGCTCTTAAATGGGTCGCGACCTGTTCAACGAGAGACCCCTGTGACGAGCCATGGCTAAACTACGGAGATTTCAGCAGGGTTTTCATAGCAGGTGATAGTGCTGGGGGTAATATTGTCCATAACATCGCCATGCGTGGTGGGGTTGAGGATTTGCCTGGTGGGGTTAGAATTTTAGGTGCTATCTATGTTCACCCTTATTTCTGCGGTTCAAGTCCAATTGGGTCTGAGCCTGTTTCAGGGCGTGACCAGACGGTGCCGGTTTTGGCCTGGAAATTCGCTTACCCTTCTGCTCCAGGTGGATTGGATAACCCCATGGTCAATCCTTTGGCTCCTGGAGCACCCAGCTTGGCTGGACTTGGGTGTTCTAGGATTCTTGTGTGTGTTGCAGGGAAAGATTCGTTGAGGGACAGAGGGGTTTGGTTCTATGAGGGTGTAAAGAAGAGTGGGTGGAAAGGTGAACTGGAATTGTTTGAACAGGAAGGAGAAGACCATGTTTATCATATCTTTGATCCTGAATCTGATCATGGCAAGAAAATGACGAAACGGATGGCTTCTTTTATCATGAAGGAAGAAACAGAGCTGGATTGATGGATTCGACTGCGTGTGAAGTTACAGCGATTTTCTGTAAAATGTGTTCTTATTCTGTTATGCTCTTTGCGGTTTAAACAGGGAAAGATTCATAGTGCGTTCCCTTCCTGCAAATCTGTATTGTCAAGTGTCTAGATTCGTTCTTGTCGCGTGTATTTGGTTTTACTCGTCAGGATCTCTTCACTATCTGCTAGATTTTTCTAATTACTTGTTCGAACCAATATGTTGTTCGGAAAAGTTGTCATCTTGCTCATCAATAAAGTTGCAGTACATCTTGTTTGTATTTTTGTAGAGTTCGAATACAAATCATCAACTTCAATCAGTTTTTCGGACCAAGTTCATACCAGATGGATGCTGAAAGCCTTGGATCATCACAGATTATCAAATTGAATGTTAAATCACCGCACTTGATGAACAATAAGAGAGTGTAAAGAATAATACTACTTTCTGTCCTATTTATAATATACAATAATAGATTTATCAGATGCAGTTTTCTAGCAAGATCAATAATCTCAGGTCAAAATCGCTCCACATGGGTCAATAGAATGTGCACTGTTTTCCAATCATAGAATTTTTTCTTTTTTGGGGGGCCATTTGAGCATGCCCTGTTAACGGCTTCTTTCCTTCCATGAAAAAGTGTCGAGGTATTTGAATGCAATCGAAATTATAATTTTAAAACATTTTTATAATATATGAGATAAATACACAGAAGAATTTATCTTGATTTGGTAAAAAAAATGAAAAATCTAAATTTCCTTTTGGAGATTGAGCGTCTTGTCTTTTTCCCATCAGTCTGCAATTTCCTTGTCATCCTTTTGTCATTTAGCCTTCACTCCCGTGGTCCGTGAACAGGCATATATTTTATATTTTAGCGTGTTTGATCATTTTCTCCATTTTTTGACCAAAAAGGATTTTGGGCCTTTTCTGTTTTCAAAATAATGTTTTATTTTGAAAAAAAATAAAGAAAACGTGTTTGTAAATGTGTCTTGAAAAAAATTGCTCTGAAAAATAAAATAATTGGAGCATATTTGTGATGTTTTGTTACTTTTTTTCAAAACATAAAAATAGAGAATAAGATCAAACAATTTCTTGATTATCCTTTTTTTAAAAAAAATCCTAAGAAAAGTCATATTCCATTGGCTGCATAATTTTAAATGAGAAATTCATATAAAAATACGTTGTTATTTCATAGCCGAATATAGACAAAACTTATTAAATTAGAAAAAACAAACCTGATTTATAATCAGGAAAATCCTAATTAAATCCTGCTGAAATACTTAAATTTAGCTTTCTTTTCTATCGTTTTCCTATTCCATTTGATATTTGCTTCCCTTCTTTATATTTTATTTTATTTTTCCAAATTTCCTCTATGGCGAACCTTGTGTTAGGTGTTTTCTTATATTGGCTTTACAGTCCGAAAATGGAAAAAAGAAACACAAAGAATTGGCTTCCTAATACTGCAATAAGAAATCTCTTCCATTCAGCACTATTTGTTTTACAGGGGAATCTGGGGGAACAAAAAATCAAATTGATATTGACCACAAGTTTGGAATTAGAGGTTAAAACTTAACATTGTACTTCTTTGGGGGGGCCTTAACATTGTACTTGGATGACAAGAAGAGGTGGAAAGGGGTAATAGAAAGAAAATAGAAGAAAACAGTTACATTTTCCTTAGCTTGAATATTTTTTTTTTTAAAAAAAGACAGAATGGAGAGCACTTTGGGTGAAAATGACACGTGGATCACTCAAGGCACATTCTGTGCTGGAGTGCTTATCTTAATCTCTGTCATCTGGATTAGTTTTAGATGGTTTATATTCAATTTAAATAGTTTTATAGTTTAAATATTTTTTATTTTAATAAATATAAAATTTAAAAAATCTTTAACATTTGATGAGCTGTTGACAAGGATGAATATTTAGCTTTTTTAACTAGCTATAAGGACGAAGTTGTCGAACAGATCGATCTTAGTTGTGTCGAGTTAAACTTGAAGAATAAATTGCCAAAAAAATTAATTCTTCCCCTAATTTTAAAAGTAAAACATAAAATTGGATAAGCTAATTATTTTAAAATTTTCAATATTTGAATACAGTTTTAATTATTTTTGGTTCATTTAAAGTTATATGAAATCCTTAATAAAGTTAATGGATTGAAGGGACGTTTAAAAAGCTATTAGACCAAATATTTGCAAATGCTTTTTCTTCCCTTTTTTGCCAAAAAATATTTCAAATACTTTAAAATTCAATAAAATACTTATAAATAGTTTTATAAACATAAAAACAATTTAAAATTTATCTATACGGGAAATATTCATAATCACGAAATCGTACTTATTATATAAATTGATGGAGAAAAATTCAGAATTTTTGAGTTTTTTGAGGAAAGATTAGTTTGTAAGTTCTTATAATTTCACCTGATTTTAATTAGGTCTTGTAATTTTTTTTCCTTTTTATCACTTACATGAAATCACGTTAATCTTACTAAAAATAAGATAAAACTATTAAGATATAATAGCAGAAAAAATTACAGGAACCTAATGAAAAGGACATGCTTGCAACTTTTTTTTTTAATGACAACAAAAGAAACCGTAGGTATTAAGTAATATGGGCCTCAGTGGCCCATGCCACCATCAGCCCGCCATGACACCTTTTGATGATTTGATCATCACAAAACGCGCCTTTCTGGAAAAATAGTTAAAAAATAAATAAATAATCTTTTCTGCTTTTTGGGTTTTCTATCATTTTAGGTTTTCCCTCCACACCCTCTGATTCAGTATTTATGTTGCTCCACTTTCATCATTTGAATTTGATATCGTTTGAACTGTAGTGTTCCGACTCTCAGATCAAGAGGTATCCTCTTCTCACTTCTAGGGTTTCAGTGTATAGTTATTTTTAGATATGCCCTTATTATTGGTTTATCTTTGTTAGAGTTCACTGCGCCTTCTGTAATGGGCTTTGACATAGCTTACAATCCATCTGCTTCTTTTCGTTTCGTTTAAATTGATTTCATTCGAAGTTTCTCTCATTGCGCTATCTCAGATCCGCTGCATTCTGGCAGAAGGTTTTATTTTTAAGCTGTAGTTGAGGACGAATAAAATTATACTTTTTCAGATGGAAGATTAATGGAAATTAGTTATCTATTTTCCAGCCCTGACTTTGTTGATTTTCGGCGAGTGAAAAATCTCGCATTTGATGTTTTGTCTGCATCCCTGCTTTTATAGACCCCTCGCCTTTATTCTTTTTCTCCTAAATTTTCAGGCCACCCTTACATGAAAGTGTTAAGTATTTTTCTATGCGCTTTGTGCTGGGGAATCAGTGTTCTTTTATCAAATTTTTTTGTACTCGACTTTTCTTCTGTAATGCCTGCTCTTGGTCTTAACTTGGTGACGAGCTTTAAAGGGCATCGGATTGGCAAAATAAAGTGAGGGATTATTACAACTGTGGTCCATTTGAAAACGATTATTATTCTACCTTAGATGTGAAAAGGTTGGATTGGAAACTAAAGTGGAGCGGGTAAAAATCGATGTGCTTTTCTTTGCATTTTAATGGAAAAGGGTTTGGGAGGTAGGGGATTTTAGAACGAACGAGATGCCTTTGCCTTTGTTATTATGAAGAGAACTTTAGGTAAGATTTACTTACTTTTGAAGTGCTTCAATGAGGTAACTTATGCTTTTGATGCTTAATGAGTCCATTTATAATAAATAGTCCATTCTACTGGATATCTGAGATGTTACTGGTTCTGGCTTTGTGACGGCTTCTCTGTTCCTGATACTTGATCCGATTCTTCTATGATTGTAATACAGTCTTGTAGTTCCTATGTTCTTGATGTTGTGTTTTATAAACTAGTGTATGAATAGAGATGCTCGATGCTCTGTTATGCAAGGTAAACATCTCAGTTCTAATTGCATTGCTTATTATTCTTCAAAAGCAGTGGAAATATAAAGGACAAGAGAGAGTTATGGGATATGAATTTGAAGCCTGTAAATCCAGATAAAAATGTGCCCGGGGGGGGGGACGGGGAGAAAGTAAAGTCAGATTTTTTTCCCTTTGCTATCTGTGTTTTCCCCTCGTATATGCTTTTCTTGGTGGTAGTCCTAATGAATTGACTGGTTTCCACTGCCTTTTAGGCAAGGTAGCCCCTTTTATCTTCTACATTGTAACAAGTTCAATGAGCTATAAAACCATACAAATCGTCCACTCTTTTGCAGCAGTCATTTGTTCCATCTTTCTTCTTATTTTGTGGTATGAAAATATGTTTTTCATTCCTCTTGTTTTAAGTTTTATAGCTTTGAAGCTGTACTTCGTTTGATTTGATTGGTTACTATGAAAACAGGTTATAACTGAAATGGAATGCAATGAATTTGTATTTTTCAATTGAAGTTTGTTTGGTTGTTTTTACTTCTCCCTGATTTATATTATTTGTTGATCACTTAATTGTCACAGGAAGTGTTTCGTGGATGGCTTGATTTATTGACGATTGAAGAGTTACATATTTAGATTTATTACCATTATTGTCATATATAAAATATATCATCGTGCAGGAACGCCGAAATGATTTTAATCTCTTTGATGATGCCTGATATTGTATCCAGAATGCATCTTAGGATTTTTTTTTTTATTTACACCTTTTCTCAAAATTATTTAACCTTGATGAGCTAAAGTTTTTTCCTCTCTTTCTCTTTACTACGATTTCATATATATGGAAATTATTTGCGTGAACAGTGATTGCAGGCCAATGGATTCTACGGGAGTCAATTCACAGCGCAGAACATTTTCAATCAAACTATGGCCTCCTAGTCAGAACACTAGACAGATGCTTGTGGAGCGGATGACCAACAATCTTACTGCTAAATCTATTTTCACACAAAAATATGGAACTCTGAACAAGGAAGAGGCTGAAGAGAATGCAAAAAAAATTGAGGATATGGCTTTTGCCGTAGCTGACCTACATTATGAGAAGGAGCCAGATGGTGATGGAGGTTCTGCTGTCCAGCTTTATGCCAAAGAATGTAGTAAGCTTATCCTGGATGTTCTTAAAAAAGGACCTGGTAATAAGGATAACAAAGAAGCAATGATTTCTGATAATGTAGATGCACCTAGTGAATCTGTGAATGGAGATGCACCTGGTGAATCTGTGAGTGTAGATGCACCTCGTGAATCTGTGACTGGAGATGCACCGGGTGAATCTGTGAATGTGGATGCACCTTGTGACTCTGTGGATGTAGTTGCACCAAGTGAATCTGTGGATGTAGTTGCATCAAGTGAATCTGTGTTTGATATATCTAAAGGAATTCGTGCCTTTATTGAAGACGAGGAGGCTCAGGAACTCTTAAAGCCCTTGAAGGAACCAGGAAATTCTTTCAGTAAAATATGTTTTAGCAACAGAAGTTTTGGGTTAGGAGCTGCAAAAGTTGTTGAGCCTATTCTCGTTTCTGTGAAGGACCAGTTGAAAGAAGTAGATCTATCAGATTTTATTGCTGGAAGATCTGAGGAAGAAGCTCTTGAAGTCATGAAAATATTTTCAGCTGCTCTGGAGGGTAGTTTGTTGAATTATTTAAACCTCTCTGAGAATGCCTTGGGTGAGAAAGGTGTCAGGGCTTTTGGAGCACTTCTGAAATCACAAACCTGCCTTGAGGAACTTTATTTGATAAATGATGGCATTTCAGAGGATGCTGCTCGAGCAGTTAATGAATTGATTCCCTCCACAGAGAAGCTTAGGGTTCTTCATTTTCACAACAATATGACTGGAGATGAAGGAGCATTGGCTATAGCTGAGATCGTAAAGCGTTCTCCTTCATTGCAGAACTTTCGTTGCTCCTCTACAAGGATAGGCTGTGAAGGTGGAGTTGCCTTGTGCAATTCTCTAGGTAGTTGTGCCCATCTGAGGAAGCTTGATTTGCGAGACAACATGTTTGGTGTAGACGGCGGCATTTCTCTGAGTAAAGCTCTTACCAATCATGCTGAATTGAGAGAGGTGTACCTGAGCTACCTAAACTTGGAAGATGAGGGTGCAATTGCCATAGTTAATGCTCTTAAGGACTCAGCCCCACACCTTGAAGTTCTGGAGATGAATGGAAATGACATAACAGTCAAAGCTGCTCCTGCAATAGTGGCGTGCGTAGAGGCAAAGCAGTTCCTTGCCAACTTGATCCTGGCTGAGAATGAACTGAAAGACGAAGGTGCCATCCAGTTAAGCAAGGCAATAGAATGTCATGTCCACTTGAAGGAAATTGATCTTAGCTCCAATAAAATAAGAAGGGCAGGTGCTCGTCAATTGGCTCAGATTGTGATGCAGAAGACTGATTTTAAGTTGCTGAACATTAACGGAAATGAAATTTCTGAGGAAGGTATTGATGAGGTGAAGGATTTGTTCAAGAAATGTCCTGAGAAGCTTGGTCCTTTGGATGATAATGAACCTGAAGGAATTGATGACGACGATGACGAAGAAGAATGTGACGAAGAAGACAATGAGAATGAACTGGAACCAAAAATGAAGAACCTTGAAGTTAATTAAGAGCCGAGTACTGATCTAGTTGATTCAAGTGGTCCAGCATTAGGTTCTGCTATCCATGTAACTTAGAGGGTACTATTGCATTGTACCATTTTGTCCCGACTGTAGTTAGTAGAACTCTTAGGATGCAATTATTGAGATAGCGATTAGTGATTTGATGTTAGGAGGTGTTTGTAGTTTAGGCGTGGTCGTTCTAATGGCCATCTGTCTGCTTTCTTTTTCTCTTGATGTGGTAGTATTTGCAGCTGGAACTACTTTAAGTTATTAGTGTAATAACTTATTATAATCAATTCTGTTTGATCAATTTGCTGTTGTCTATGCTTTTGCTTTTGGAAGTTATTTTCTATTAGAAATGGGATAGTAACGACAGAACGGAACCTGTTTGTCTGTTTAACATGTCAGCGGGTTTGACTATCGCAGGGATTTGGAGTTTGATTCAAGGATGAAATGAGACTCGGGAGTGGATGTGGAGGATCAGGCATTCCACTGGCTATTCCATCCATCCATTGTTTAGGTGTGTTGGGGACATACATCTGTAAAGGAAAAAACTCAGATCCTTATATTAAGCGTCTGGTGTCAGTCAGGCTGAGATGTCCGATATTTTTATATACTACCTCTGATCCTAAATATAAAAACTAGCTGATTAATTTGAATAGATTAAGAAAATAAGTTAAGTTAGTTATTTGTAATAAATAGGTATTGTCTTTTCTAAAATATTCTTACTAATCAAGTTTATCAGTTAAAATTATCATTACTAGAAGAACTATCTTGGAAAAAAATGACTAAATATAAAAAACAAAATAGATTGGAGTCTTATATTTAGGACTAAAAAAAAAGTCAAACAAGGTCTTATATTAAAGACCGGATGTAGTATTATTTATCTCACAATAATTTTTTTGTTAATATTAATTTTCAAAATTATGGGTCTAATTTCACTATTAGAGGACTTTGTTCATTTATCTCAATGGGTAAAACTTAGTAAGACATGACGCAAAGCAAGATGTTATGATATAAGATGTCTTTAACAAACTAGTTTGAACTTTGATAGAGCATGTTATTCCATCATCCATATTAGCATATAGGAAAATATTCAAGTCTTTTTCATTTTCAAAATAAGAAAATGAGGTGAAAGGAAAAATATATATTAATTTGAATTGTATAATTTTTTTTTAATCAAATCCAAATAAGTGTATCATAAGTGAATCCATCCATTAGTTATTCCATGACAAACTTTACTACTACCTCCGGTCTTTAATATAAGATCCTGTTTGACTTTTATTTTAGTATAAAACCTCAATTCACTTTGTCTCTCATATTTATACATTTTTTTCTAAAATAACCCTTCTAACAATAATAGTTCTAATTAATACATTTGATTGGTAAGGATATTTTAGAAAAAACAACACCTATTTAGGACAAATAGTTAACTCAACTTACTTTCTTAATCTCAAATTAGTCAACTAACGACCGAAAGTAGTATTAATTAATGAGTTTAAAATATGCAATTAAAGTACTATATTAGAGTAATTTTAAAATAATGTAAACGAAAATAATTAGGGATCAGATTGGTGAAGAGGAGAGTGCCCATTTGTCGTAACACAGGCATTGGGGCGGACACCCAACTCGCAGAATATCAGCGAGGTCCAAACCACTCATCACATCCCATTTACTGCCTGAAGGATCATGCCATTCACATTTTTCTGCCGCTTATTTAATGCCCCCCAACCCCAACCTCTGCTTCCCTTCTTTTCGATGTGGGCTCCCTAAACTCACTCTACTCCTACCCTTCCACCCCCTCCCCCTATAACAATTTCAGAAAAAAAGTTGGGCTTACTTATGATTAAAGAGATACAGGGAAAATTCTATTTAGGAGATCACTACATGTTACAAGCTGAGGCCACGACGCCTTCCAGAACCGAATCTTCTCCTTCAGTAAGCGTGTCTAACCTTTTTGCTCACTGAATCCACTAACGAGGGGTAACTTACTCTACTACTACTATTATACAATACTGCCTCTCATCTTTCATTTTTCCTTGCTCATCATACGCATGAAGAGTTGACCTTGTAACCTTTTGAAACTTTTCATATTTAATACTACCGGTCTTATTTATAAGATATCATTTATATCTTATAATTACAACCGGAGATAGTATAAGAATTATTTAATTAATTTGGGTAGATTAGTAGAGTTTAATAGATAAGTTAGTTGTAACAAATGTGATATAATATCCTTAAAATGGCTTTGTGTGACATATATTACATATCACTTTATAAGCTAACTAAATTAGTTTGAAGAAAAATAATAAATACAAAAAATAAGATAAATTAAAATATTATATTTAGAAGGAAATCTAACTTACTTATTAGTTCCTATGTTAGCTACAGGAAGAATCATTCATAAGATATCCATTATTATCTGCAGATCATGTTATCACTTTTTGATCCCGTTTCGGCCTTACAGGTTCCTAGTCAACAAGAAATCGAGGATCGAATTGAGTGAAAGATGACCCAAAAAAAAAAAAAAACACCATGCCTATCTTGATTCCATTCAGAAGCCTTAGTAGATGGCTTCCTATGTTTGACCTATTCCAGTCTTGGTAAGTAACATCTTTTACTTCTTGGTGCTTCTGGGGAAAACAAAATCCCCCCCCCCCCCAAAAAAAAAGGCCTCCCCAGTTATTCTTCGCTCCAGATTATACCTCATTTTCGCTCATTTTTCTCTATTTCGAAGTTTTAAGACATCCCAAGCCGGTTTACTATAATGGACAACTCTTACTATCCATGTTTCAAGTTTTACAATTTCTCATTTAGAATTTGAAACAATCAGTTTTTATTGAAAAACTTAATATTCCCCTGTTCTTAAATATATAACTCATTTTACTGTATAAATTACACTACTGAATAAGTCTTACATTTATGACCGAACGAATAATAAATAGCTATGATCGATCGCCTCAGTCGTGTTATTTTGTTGTTTATTACTCCCTCTAGTCCTATACATAATAAACAAATAATTAACTTTAGTTAATAGCGTTTTTCATAAGTATATTACGCTGTAATTTTCTTTTCAAAAATACCCCCAATCAATTTGAGAACTTTTACCAAATACTCGATGACTCATGAAGCCAATTTATTTTTAATGAAAGGTATGAAAGGAACATTTTAGCAAATGAGATCGACAGGAATAGTAAGTTCAGTACAAAAAAAGACAAGAATAATTAGTCCCCTACATTTGGGAAGTAAAGAGAACTTCGTAAATTCTAAGACTGGAGCGTGTATTTAATCCCATAGCTTGGAGATGAGAGGCAACAGAAATTGAAAAAAGGAGGGGAAAGATCCAGGACATGAGGGGAAAATATATATATATATATATATATCATCAATGTTGTAACATGAAAATCCCTAATACAAACTAGGACTCAGATTTACAAGAGTATCTAGCGAAATTATCAAAATCTAAAAAAATTACAGAGGTATTATCCTTTGTTCTGAGTGTTCTAGCCTCACCCAACAAGAAATTAGCAACCTTTTCTGCAGAATTCTCTGCAAGTGAGGAGTCTCTTTCTCTCACCTGTGCACTCAAATAAGGAAATAGTCAGAACGAACTGGCAGGGAGTAGAATACAATAAACAATGTCTTGAAACAAAAGAAAAGTTTGTATAAAACCTGAAGCACTAGCTGAATTGCCTTCTTCATGCTGATGACATCCCACAAACCATCACTGTAAATTTTGAAAGAGATTCATTCGAAAAGGTCAAATCAAGGCAATGATGGTTTGCACAAAGCAAACACCTAAAACAAAGAGTAAATGACATATTGGTACCAAAAATTCAATTTAAGAACAGTTAGGTCTAATACCAGTTTCTGGAAAATAAGTTGCAAATATCAATTCAAATAATCATAAATATGAGTCTCGTGTAAATCAATGGAAGTGACTTATGAAAATATACCTAATTGGCAATTGAAACTCTCACATTTGCAAATGTCTAAATCTACATTTGCAACTTATCTCGCATCAAAACTTTTTGGGACCTTATTAAATTGATCCTTTTGGAGACCTAAATGTCATTCCCCTTAAAATAATTGCAAGTAAATTTTATTTGTTTGCAAAAATACAGCCCACTAATCTGATCAACTACTTCTAAAACATTGGTGAAACATAGAGCATATGGATATTCGTAAGTACCATAAAAATTAATAAAAGCGAAAATAGAAGATAAATCACCTAGCTAGAATGGCAAAAGCCCGGCTAGTTTGATCGATATGCACTGCTTGACTTATATAAGGCTCTGAACTAAACCGGGAATCCTGTTGCTTGAGAAATTTGTCCCCAAGCATCCTTGCAAGATTTATACCTGCAATTATTCAAAGCCGAGTCATCCACAATCAGTCTGAGCAGCAGTGCAGTCAATTTTATAACTCAGGAAAAATTGTTTTCTTTTTACCGTATAGACGTGTTTCCCCCTCTTTCAGTGGCTCACCACTCTCTTCAATTCGGAGTCTTTCAGAATAATTTGCTATCTTATGATCCTTTGTCATATTGATCTGTTTCCCATTTACACTACCAAAGACAATAAATTGTTCCGTAAGAACATCATGGTCACAAGAGTTCCAGCCAACCTACCATGTTAAAGTTCCAAAACTAAAGCAAAAAGCACTCCAGGAAGAGTAATACATGTATGAGTGACTACATCTACAACAATAGGCTGCAAATCTCGTCTCCAGACAAAATAATGGACAGCCACAATTGGCACAAAAATAATTAGCCATCTGCATTTCAGGTGGATATTCAAACTTTTTAAAAGAAGCAGCAAAATCAAAGATACACAGTAAAATAAAAAAGGATAAAGTTCTTTAAAGACATTGTTGCTCAACGTGACTCTATGAAAAATAATCTACAGCAATGAATAGAGCCAATTAATTTTATAAATATACATATAACAGATAATGCAATAAGGTAAGAAAATATTATTTATTGACACCGCAGATTGACAAGACATGCGGAATACAATGAATAGTAAAAAGATTTTGTATTATATATACATTATTACAACACGAGCTCTAGTCTCAATTTTTTTTCCTGACACAAATTATAAAATCATTAACACTGAAAGGGTTTTGTGAAGCCAAAACTATTATCCATTAACATAATTCATACATTCTAATGCGCTATTTTTTTTTTTTAGTCTAATAGCCTAGTTGTCATTTAGTCCACCTCTGACCCATTCAAAATTCATCTTTTGTCCTGAGCATTGTTTAGTTCAATAATTAGAAAAACATACTTCATAACACAGGAAGAGTCTCCAACATTAGCACATTGTGCATAGAAATTTCCATCACCATCAGCCCACACCAGAAGCAATGTTGCTGTACATCCCTGCAAAGTGTTTTTCAATAAAATATAGAGAAGTGAACCACAAACTTCGAATTACAGGAGTTTTAAAGATGAAATAATTTAGGAGTTGCTTGTTAGAAGACAAATTTATGTAAACAAAAGGGGGATGCTCATGGATAGGGTATGGGTAGCTGGCATCAAATTTACAGTGGTCTCCATCCCTGGACTCAAAACCTAGCCCGGTAAAAACCTTAATCCCCATGCTCTTCCCCATGGAATCCTTGAATGGATGGACCTGGACCTATTTACCTAGAGAAATTTCAAAATGAGCAATTTTTTCTCAAGTTGAATCTCATCCATATGACACTTATTTATACAAAATTACTAAATAATAAAAAGCCTCAATCATTCTCTCTCTCCCACTCTGCCTCTGACATCCCAGACCCAAACCGAAATGAGCAGAAATGGTGAGCAAAGAACAAAGATGCAGCCTGCAGAAGGAAAAAGCCTTAACCATTAATATTTTCAAGCACACAATCATCATAACTTGAAATTGTCTAATAAGCCAACCGACCCCCTTTGGTCTGGTCCTTAATCCATTTTCCTATCCCCAAACTTGAACCTGAATGTGTAGTTTGATGGTTACTCATGAGAATTTTGTTCATCCCTCACATAAGGTTGAGAAAAATTAATATTCACAACTTTTATTTACTTGAAAAATTAAATTATTAGTGATAGTGACTTAAATATGAAGAAATCAACTTCACCTGGTAGGTTTTATGTTCCCTAACCAACCTGAAGTTGACAAATGATTTGCTTTCATATAGTCAAATTTTGTCATTATCCAAGTACAAAAAAATGCAAGTTACTTGGTAGCCACATATAAACTTTTAAGTTTCAATGTGTCAATATTTGCCACAGTGCAATTAACTATTCAATATTTTGCAGAAACAGGAAAGGGAAAAAATGTAGCATTTCTCAAAAAAATTGAAGAAAGACAATTCTCTTTTATGTTTGTTAAGAAAGTTCCAGGCTCTATTGGACTGGATCTCTGTCATTATACTTCAAACAACTTTGATTTGTAGGTTCATGTGTTAGGGACACGCTAAACAAGGAAATAACATAGAAAATGGGGGGCAGACAGAGAAAAAGAATTTTGAGCATGACTTCAACAAATTTACAAGAGAACTTATTTGATTCCATTTTAAAAGGAGTAAACCCAAAAAAATGTGACAGACTTTTTTAACCTATGCAGTTAAGAGCCTTCACTGAACCATATGAATCCATATCAAAAGGCCCAAGCTACACAGAATTTCTTTGGAGGAGTCTAATAGTAATACATTTTTTTCCTATGCAAGTATGATACCCAATACCTTTCTCAGAAAGAGTTATTGATACTAGTTTAGCATGGCTCCCAAAATTCTTAATAAATGCGCTCATGTCATAATCAGTTAATTGTCCCGCCAAAAGATAGCATCATGAAGCTCAAATAGCTACAAGGATTTTGATAATCTGTCCTTCAAAAAGAGCTTTGGATCCTCTAGCCCACGTCAAAAGAAAAACAATTGAAAGCTTCAACTTCCCCCTTTTGAATATTATTACAAGGGCATTCAAAGTATTGAGCAAAGAGTCCAAGAACAATGAATAAATATAGGGGAAGGTACAGGCAACTTTATGATGGGAAAATGCCTCATGAGCTATACACTTGCGCTAATAAATATTATCTCAATGATATCTTATTTGTAACTCCATCAAAAGAGAGATAAAGAAAATGCTCACAGTTGTGGACAAATCCCTGCCACCCTTATTTAAGAAGGTGACTATATGCTAAATAGGTAAAACAGAACACGCTATCATTAAAAACTTATGCAAGAAATATTAAACTCTAAAAGCGACAATGTCAACTGTCATTTATCATGTCAAGTTCTCGAAGATGCAGACAACAAAAAACATCTAAATGGAAGAAAGACTAAAGAGTACCTCGTAATGGTGATTCATGTTTGCTTCTGTTTGAGAAAATGCCTCTTTAAGAACATCAGATGCATCATGCAGTGATAAAACCCTCTCTCTTTTTAATGAATCTGATAATATGCTAGCAACTATCTCAGGGAAAAGTCTGAAAAAAATAGCAGAAAAATGAGTGAAGTTCCTAAGAGTAAGAACCACAGCAAGTGAGTTGGTAAAATATTCGAGATCATGTATAAGAGAAGGCTGCTGACATTTTGGTCCCTGAAGATCACTGTTGAGAGATGCCGTTCCTCCTATAAGTCTAAATTTTCTTCCACAAACAGCAACTACTAGTATTTTAAAGCTCCCACAACAATAGATTCATAATAATTCGTTTTCTTATGAAAATAGAATCCCAAGACTGGAGCACACGAGCAAAACAGCACATATTTTATCACATCCACAAGAAGGGACTTAAAATTACTCCACAACAGATGCGTGAACAGCTTTCTTTAGTGTTTGAACTGTTATATTTTGCCATTACAATCTACATAGGTTGACATGGTCTAAACCAACTCTTTCACTGAGTGCATAGAGAAAAGTATCAGGTACAACAGAAGTCTTGCCTTTGCGTGATTAGTGTAGGATAGACCACAGGGTATCGCCCAAAAAGTTACTAGGGATACCACATATACAAATGACAATATATATAACGACATGGCAGTGTACGCAAGTTAATATAGTCAGTTTCAATCTGAAAGGAAAATAGACAATATGACTCATAAGATCAATGAGTGTATAAAAAACACTGAAACGCTCCTTATGTTCCCTCGGGGGTGGATAAGGTGGGAACACAAGTTCTAGCCAGCTTGTTTTTGTAATACTCTTTTGAGTTAATCGAATCCAGTTTTATTTAAAAAAAAAAAAAAAAACAAAAAAAGCAATGAAACAACATGATTTGTGTGTATGAATGATTCATGTCATGGAAACATACATGACCATAATTGAAACAAATGACATGTTATAGGACAAACAGCGGGAGAAGGTTCAAGATAGTTGAAATGAACCATAATTAAATCGTATAGCTTCACATCTAAGGAATAACATCCAAAAACACATGATTATGATGATTATTGTAACTTCAATAAAAAGATGGCTGGCAATGGCACTTCAGTGAATTGTAAGTTTCATAAAATCATAACGAATTAAAGATGACAGAACTAAATCAGAAAACACTAACTTGCTAGCAGATTTAGCAGCCCCGTCTCCACCATGCCCATCACAGATGCCAAATAGTCCAAACTGCATGTTAGACATACAGGTGAGCTAGCTTCACAAAGAAAGTGCAAAAGGAAACAAAAGAATGGTCCTTGGTTGAATGGGAGCTATGTAAGTCCAGAACCTGATCCAGCCCAGGAAGAGGCCATTGATAGTAGCAAACATCTTCCATAGGTAGCTTTTTCCCTCCTCGACGTAAAGCCATGGGATCTGATGCCATACCTACTCCAAACGGAATTTGATGCCTACTTTGAGAAGCAATACGGACCTGACAAATATAACATCGCATAGTTTAAACCAGGATGCTAGTATAGAATTAAAAGAAGAAACACTTTCTTTAAAGAGGAAAAAGAAAACTGAATTCATGATATGATAACATGAAATACCAAACACTACAGGATAATTCCTAGAAGCACCATGGGTTCAAAATAGAAAAGAAAACAACCAGAACACTTAAAATTTAATTCGAAGAGATATTTTGCTAATATCATGTAGGGAACAGTTTTTCCTCCATGCTAACGTAGTTTTCATTTTCTTTCTCCCAATACAAGTTATAATAATAACCTTTTTTATATACCAGTAACACTGTCAACCTAGATCAACCCAACATCATGCAGACATGGACAAGCTTTCCATCTACAATAAACACAAAGGAACCACCTTGTCAACTGAGGCACAAAGGCTCGTTACTTACAATGACTTTCGATGTTGTTCCAAGAGTTATAACATCTCCATTGGCAAGCTCAAATGGCTCACCCCAAAGCCTGTTGCCAGTGTCTGGATGGTTGATTGACCGAGAATTCAAAAGTGTTCCATTCAGGCTACCCATATCTACCAACTCCCATTTCAATTTCTGAAATTAATACCAATTCTATAATAATTGCTGCATAACATATGGCTTTTAAAATCCAGATCCAAGTCCATCAGAAAAGAAAGGTTTACATCTAAATTCCAATTTATTAGAGCATGCTTTCCTGACACTTCTGAGTCCTTTATTAATAAATCACTTGGAGAAACTCTTCCAATTGTCAGAGGTAGATGAGAAGGTTTTGTCGATTGTACAGAACAACGAACTCCACAAGAAGGACCACTGATAATCTCCAGAGTGAGGCAACTTCCTGCAATTCTAACAGAAAGATATGATGACGTACTCACTTATTAATTCCTTCATAACAAAGATTTAAGAAATTACTTTGATCTAAGATATCTCTTTGCACGGTGTCTTCCAATCTATTTTCTTCAAAATTCACTCTAGTATGCCTTTGAATTTCAGCTAACTGGTCTGGGGGAAGCCTGAGTGTTTGGCCAAATGCAACTTCTTCTGAAGCATCAGAAGTTACTTCCAAAACCGAACTATCAACTGAAACGGTTAAAGAACAGTAGTATGACTACACAAACCATTATAGTAGATAAAATCAAGGTAAAAGGAAGCAGGGGGCTGAAAATTGGTAGTAGTTCATGAAATACCTTGAGGCACATTAGGAGAAGAAGCAGGAAACCTCTGCTTAGAAACAAGTCCAGGGGGTCGTGGTGAGCGAAAAGGACCCTCATTGAAAAAGCACGCACCCTCAAGATCATAGTCTCGGGGCAATTCATTGCTCTGATTACGTAAAGCATTTGCATCATCTATGACTAGGGGCCTCTCTATGTCACCATCCTACACCAGTATAATTAACTAAGAGTTAGTTGAAGGCATAAGCTAAATTGATCAAATAAAAAATTATGACAAATACATAAGGTATATGAAATAATTCATAAAGAAAAATGAAGACAAGAAGTTAATTTAACAGAGTAGGCATATCATGTCAAGTCCTTGCAATGCAATCTTGACAGGAAAAACACAACCCTTGAAAAACTTCAGCAAGTAAAGGACATGAATATTCTTATGACTGCATCAGGCCTTCAACAGGAAAGTGACCAAGTCATTTTACTATGACTATGAACAAGTAATATCACATGTTTCTTTCGGACTCCATTCTCTCTTGCAGGCTTGCCGCACTAATCCATTCGTAATAGACCAAATTTAAATTCTACAGGCAATACCAAGTCATCTGGAACACTTGACACAATTACATAAATGAAGATTTACAGCCATTGGAGAGAAACAAATGGACCCTGAATTTTGGTGCCAAGCTATAAAAGGTCTATAAAGCTCCAAGCCAAAGAAAAAAAGTTCAAATGAATCAAACCCAAATTCCCGGAATGTTTCAGCTTTACAAGGTGAATGAAAAAAGATACAAAACAAGAGAGAATGCAACCCCAGATCAACGTTGAGTCAAGCCATATTTGGAACCCACAATTTCACACCGATCACTTCAAAGGTCTATCATGCAGCTTGATGCACTCGTACGTAACTGAAAAAGAATACGCAAATAATAAATCTTTAAGATTTCTCTCGACGAACTCACAGAACCAGCTCAAATCAACCTTCCTTCGGACGGGGGATAAAATAAAGCCTAAGAACACGTCGACGTCGACCGGTATAGAATGTAACAGAACCTCCGAATGCTGATTTGGATCACCCAGAAATTCCCCAAAACCAAAGAGAGCATTACACAAAGAGTATCATTGTCATTCCACAGATATCTTCGACGCCCAGTAATTTCGAGGAACGGGAAAAAAAAATGATGCGCATATTGAACCAAAAAAAAGGGGGCTGTACCTTGATGGATAAGCGGGGTCGCGAAGATAAAAAGAAGCGCCATGGTTTGCAGACAAAAATGACGATGACGATGATCAGAAGAAGCATAAGGAGAAGAAAGAGAATGACAATGCTGTCTACCATCGCCATCATCTTCGTTCTCTCTCTTCTCGTCAGAAGAGAGTGGAGATTGGATTCGGGCTTGCGAAAAGCTCGCCTTGAAATGGTCGAGCTCGGTTTATTTTTTTGTCGTTACTCACCCATATTAACTTCAATTTGTTTTATTATTACATTTCTGCAAGAAAATTTTCTAATTTTTTAATAATTTCTCAAAATTTCTCTTCTTATACTAAAAGAAACTTTAATAATCATCATTATTATAAATTATTAAGCAGGATTTCTTTTCAATTTTTTTTTTCATCGAAGAAATATAATTCATGACTTTAAATATGGTAAATTTAAAAACAAAAAAATCATCATCAGAACAAATTTAATAACTTAATTATCTATTCTTAATCTGAGTTGGGAATAATTTTTTTCAGAGGCTTTTTCTGCATTGTCATTGTCATTCGTTATTTTTTAATTTTTTTTAATACTTATCCTATTCTAAATATAAAACTTATTTTGTAATATAATTTATATTATAAAATAGGCTTAATGTATTGAAAGAGTATAATAGAGTATTGCTCAGAAGAGACCAAATGAATACCGGTATTATTATTATTTACAACTATTGTTACAATTTTAAATAATGTTAAACTTATTAAATAATTTTTTTTCGGTTCAATAAAAATCAAGTTTTTAAAAAGGACACAGTAAGAATTGAATTAAGCATATTATCTCCCCACGTTTGCATCTGAAAAGACACTTCACTTGGGGAGAAAAAATCTTGAACTATATAGTTGTACGGAGATTTCAAATCAATGCGGGGGTTTTTAATTTGATCTTCGAGAAAAAAAAATTTATTCTATTCTATTCTCATACAAATTGAATAAGTATTTTTTTTATGATAAAGTTACAGAATCTATCTCTCTCTCTCTCTCTTTTTTTTGCCAACAGGAAATATCTGATATTTACATGTTATACATAAATATTATCATATTGAATTGAAGGTAATTTTTGTACCAAAATTGTTAATTTATAAAATTAGAAAATGAAACATGATTTAAAGTTTGAGAATAATATAAATGCAAGAGAAGGGAGGGATATTCTAATGAACCTTTCTTACAACACTGTTATGCCAAGTCCCAAGTTAATTAATTTATTATCTGTTGACATTGACATTGGGGTCCGTCAGAAACACTCAGAAACCCATAATTCAACTATTTTATTTAAGTTTTTTTCACTTATTTTTTTTAAATAAATTCCCCTTAATATTTTTTTTAGCTTCTTTTTTCGGGATCCCGTGCATCAGTATGGTTCTTCTGCGGATCTCTCTTTGTGGACTGTTTGGTATGGATGGGCTTTGGGCTTCAGCGATGGATCAAATCCTGGGGCTCAAAGTATTAATGCATGTAGGAGCAGCAGCAGCAGCAACAACAATAAGAAGAAGAACAATAATAATAATTTTTCTCTGGGGAAACTTAGAGATAATTTTGGTTACTATCTTGTTTTCTTAAAATAGCATATACTATTCTGAACCATATGGAATAAAACTTTGTTTAGACCCCTTGCAAAATAGATTTTTTTAACACGAACTGTATGGAATTGATTCTTTAATTTGGCCATTGAAAAATAAAATAATCTTTAATTTGAGATTTCACATGCAGATTTATATATTTCTTTATTTATTCACTTATAAAAAACATTTTCATTAAAATACATTTTATTTTACCAATTTTATAATAATTTTATCTGTATTAGATGGATGGAATAATGTTAATAACATTTATATTTGTGAGAATAAATGTATAAAATAGAAAACGTAATTCTATAAATAATACAGACTAAAATTTTAAAAAAATAATACTAAGAAAAATTAAATTAAAAAATTCCATGGATAATTTAAAAAATTATTTTAACAGGGAAAACAAAAATAGAAAAATAACCCATTTTAAATTTGATTTTTGGAGATATGGTGGTTTGGAAAGTGATAGTTCTCAAATAGAAAAGGACAGGTTATAGTAACAATGATGATGGTGACGACTTTGTTTTTAGACCAAATAATAATATCTCAAGTGGAAAGGCTTGAAGATGATTTTATTGGTAAATGTATGGTGATTGTTGGTGAAGAAAGGGTGGTTGGATATATAATGTTGCTTCCTAAATAAGATGATGAAGGTGGTTGAGCATAATAATGCCCATAATTCCTTGTTTAGTCAAATTGCGGTGAGTAAATTTTCTTTGTTGAAAGCATTATACGTTGAAGTTGATAGGTTTGGACGTATTAATTAGCATACAAATTTACTGAAATATAATTGAGTCTACATATATTTGTATAAAGGATTACCCCCAATTCTAAATATAAGCGCTTGTTGAAGATTCAATTTGGTGTTGAATATAATATTTTAATCTATTTTATCTTCCTTATTTATTTATTTATTTTTTCTAAAATAATCTTTGTGGTAACTGCACATATTAAATTAAAGGGTTTTCATTCTAATGCATATGATTAACAAGGATGTTTTAGAAAAAATAATGCTCATTTATTACAAAATAGCTAACTTAACTAGTTTTCTTAATATTTACAAATTAGTTATATAGTTCTTATATTAAGGACCGGAAGTAGTATAATTGATGATTTGCTAATATAATATGTGCATAGGAGTAAGATAGAGATAAAATTAATTTGTTGAGATAAAATTAATTTGTTAATGTGTTAAGTCTCATGTACATATGATGTGTTATATATTCTCCTACTGAAGAAGACATGTTCGAAGTAGTGCCATGAATTAAATGTTAGTACCTTTTTTTTAACAAAATTTCAAACATTAGTTTGTTATGTTGCGAGAGGGAACCAGTTTCAATCCTTATTGCTTTTATAAGCACCCTAAACTCATATGATTTAGATTGTCTATCTCTAATTTGAACAGTCCATATTTAAAATCGTTAATTAATTATTTTTAAATAGAAAAACTTTTTTTTTGTTGAAAAAGTGATAGTTAAGATATTATCTTTATTTTAGATTCTATACGTATTAAAATAATTATTTTAAGAAAATAAAAAAAATCAAATCTGGACAATCCAAATGAGATATGGATGGTCCGGATTTGATGAGTTTAGGGTACTTATCAAAACGATGAGCACTGAAACTGATTCCTTTGTGAGGGGATACTAGTCATTTCTGCTAAATTTATGACTGCTAGTGATGTGTTATTTCTTTTGAATTAGTGTGGAGACTAACTATTAATTTTCTCGTTAAGTTACCAACCATCAGACATTAATATGGAGTAATCAGTTAAGTGAGCAATTGTGTAAAAGGATACAAATAATCGATCAGCATGCGAATATGTATCCCTAAGAGTAACATGCACATCAAAGCTTATGGAAGCCTTTAAAAGCAGTTTTTCAATCTCGACTTAAAAAATATGTATGTGAGAGAAATTTTATCTTGATTTACATAAAAATACTTGTAAGCATTTAACCAAAGTTATTCTTAACAAGACTTTAATACGTGGCTCTCGTTTTGAATTCCACGCGGTATTAATTTTAAATTTATCCCATGATTATCGCTGTAAGCCCACTTTTAGTTATTCAAATCCTGGAGTTGACTTAGATAAAAATAAAATAAAATAAAATAAAATAATGGTGATCATTTTTCGACTCAATAAAAATTTATGCTTTTATATTTGTTAATGAAATGAGATACCGATAAATTAAAAACTTCAAAAGATTTTATAATGAGTAGCTATTATTGATGAAGGATGTATTCATGCAGTTTTACTTTATTAAAGGGGGAAAAAAACAGAGAACGCATGAAAACGAATACTTCTTCATATTGACATCAACAATCAACAAGAATAATAATAAGGGAATCTTGCAAATATGCACGCATCATGACATATTATCATTATATGCTTGATTATATTAATTTTCTTTATTTGTTCTAGATTTTTTTAATTAGTTTCAAGGTATATATAAACGATGGAATAAATTAATTGTTGGCACAAATACATATAAATCAATTACCTTCTGTTAAACTTTAGCGCGGGCTTGATTTTTTTATTAGTTTTGATTAATAAATTATTCTAAAAATCATTTTATTCCGAAAATTACATAAAATTTCCTATATTTTAGTTTCTTTCTGTGATTTTTTTTTTAATACGATGATATTTATACGTAAGGTAGCTCTTTCAACTTAGTAGGTTTCCTTCCCATTTAGGAGATTCAACCTCTATCTTTAGGTAAAAAGAATTGAGTTTGTATACACTTACTAAGTAAGCAACTAAAAAAATCAAAAAAATAGTTAACATTACACTCATATATCCTATATCTTACTAAAATAGAATTGTTTAATTGTTTATAATTATAGTATTATATTATTAAAAATAAAAACACAATCTCATAACAATAACCTCACCCAGAAGGATTTGACGCAGAAAATGAACCTTGATCTGTTTCGTGCCATAGGCAAATAAAAAGCTTATTTACGTTGATTTGTTTATATAAACCGACATAGATTACTGTTATTATGTCGTTTTTGAATAAACGACGTAGTGAATTACAATATTCTACATCGGCATTTAGAACAACTGACATAGTCAAAGATCTCGTAACTTAATAGCATTAATACTTTTTCATAAGTAAGAGGTCGCATGTTCAATTATGTTTGTAACTTACGACTACAGTATTTGCCTCTTTAATTCCAAAAAAAAAAAAAAAGAATAACTGACGCAGATATGTCTTACCATGTCAGACCCCAAAAAGTCCATGTAAGCAAGTCTTTAAGAATCCAACTTAATCATAAAAATGTCAAAAGTCATTTTATTTTGCTTCAGTTTTTTTACCGAAAATTTTATAAAACAAAACAACATAAAATTAAAGACCATGTGAGCCAGCCAACTAACTGAATTTATATAAGTCAGATGCGGTGAATATATAATTATTTTCTCATATTTTATGCCATGCATTAAAACTTTAAAAGCGCGCCAAGTTTGTTAAAAAAAAATGATTTTAATATATAACGTGAAAAAAAAGTTAAAAACTATAGTGTAGATGCATAAGATAATTAAGAGTCAATGCAAGACACTTCCATATACTTCT